CTTATTGCGTGTCGGTAACCTGGGCATATTCTTCTCTACGTAGCCAATCCCAAACACAGTGGCCTCCATGGGTCTCGCTGAGACTAGGTAAAAATGGCCAGTGTTACTGCTAGCAATAAGCAGTAGTGATAGCCTGTAACCCATAGCTACATGTCAACACAAAACGTCACTTCTGCATTATGTAGCTATTTCACCAAAGCATCTCAGGCCCATGCCAGAGTGTAAGGAACTCTCATGGCACAGATAACTATATCCAAGTGCATTGACTTTCTTTCGGTAAAGATTTGCTTGCAAAGTTCTTTAGCCTGAAGTATAAGCTGCCTATAGAGTGAGTTGGTGTGACATCAACAACAGCCTCCTCTGGGCAAAAATAAAATCAGCAAAACATAGCAGTTATCCTATCATAACCCCCCTCTGTTTCTGTCTAATTAGGTTACAGGATTATTTTGTATTAACATAAGAATATTCAGGTTTACCTGTGGGATGGTGTTGGCACCATGGGACTTATTCTAACCAACTTTTTGGTGCTTCTTTTTTCTGCTGTTATCACTGGTAGGGAATGAGGATAGTTTTCTTTTTCAGTAGTCTCTAAGGACACCCTCTGTGACACTCTTTCTGTTTTTCAGTATGTACCTCTATGAGGGATCCAAAAACCTGGGTGTCAGCAAGTCTTCTTATCTCTAGTCTCCATTTTCTCTACTACAAAATGATTCTATGTGGGCCTTCTAGATCTCAAAGCCTATGATTCTATAAAAGACCAAAAAAATTGCCCGGCTGGTGTGGTTCAGTTAAGTGTCAACCTATGAACCAGGAGATCACGGTTCAATTCCCAGTCAGGGCACATACTTGGGTTGTGGACTCAATCCCAGTAGATGGTGTGCAGGAGGCAGTTGATTAGTGATTCTTATCGCTGATGTTTCTGTCTCTCTCTTCCGCTCCCTTTTTCTTTGAAATCAATAAAAAATATATTTTAAAAGAGAGTATATTAGAACATACTTAGATTTTAATATAGCTTTAAAATATATTCCCTAATGAATACAGTTAAAGGATATATATTTCCCCCTCTAAGTGGAAATTCCTAGCTTGTGGTAAAAAGATAGTTTCACAAAATTATGTCTGTTGGTTGCTTGTTGAGGTTTCATTATGTATAATGTTTCATCAAAAAAAATCTTAATATATTCTATGACTTGTTTGTTTTGGACACTTAAGTGTATATCTGTGTAGCAATTAAATCATCCCTATTATTTTTTTCACCTCTTTTTAACACCACAGTTCCAGCTATACACACCTAAATAGATGTCTTTTAAAAATTGATCCATGAAAATGGAATTCTGTTTCATATATTTGTTTTGGGGCATGTGTTTTCCAGTGTTCTGTGATGGATCATGCTTGTGTATAAGCACATTTGGTTTTAGCAGAGCACACTACACAGTATTTCTCTCCTAACTATGTCATCTTCTGCTCCTATTATTTCGGAGCAATTTCTTTGCTCCACTCTGGAGCTATTTATACTCCCAAATTTTCTATTCTGGGTGTTACCCATTCACCTATACTGAGATAAGAGTATACCCAATAAAAAGAAATTCATGCAATTTTGCTGTTAGTGTGTTTGTTTCCATCACAATGGTAAATTAGACTCAGTACAAAAGTGACTCTAAAAATTCTCACTTGTTCTTATATCCTTAGCTATAAAGCAAAATATTTTATTACGATGAATGCAGAGTAACAAAAGAAAATAATAAACTCCAAACCTCCCATAGCTTCCTTTCATATATAAAGAAACATCTTAGGAATATTGGTGTTTAGAAGAAGTCCATTCCTCCCTTCCACTAATGGAAATGGCGGGCTGCATTTTTAAATGCTCTCACTCCCTGCTCCTGAAACTCTGCCCTCAGAAGAGAAAATAAAAATTTGAGTTATTTTTTTCTACACCTCTCTCCAGTCTCCCATGCAGTCCCCACTCCGCCTTGTGTCCTCCTTCGTGCTTGCATTGCTATTTTAAAAATTCTTGATTCTTTTTCCTACCTGCCTTCCTCTCAAATCAAGTTATATTCCTTTCTGCCACTTTAAGCAAAGTCTCAGCTTCCATGTAAACAGGTCATTATCTTGAAAATATTTTTATTGCAAAAGGAGGGGGCCTGTAGAGTAGCAAAACTCTCCACCCCAAAATGTGTCTCTTTGTCACGTGAAATACTTTGCGTTGAGAACACGTTCTCCGGAAGAACCTTTGACCTTGCCCCTAACTGCATAAAAGAATTTAGATAGATTTGTTCCAGGCAGGGCGCTATTAGTTTATAATAATATAAAGTAGGCGTGATAGGAACCTAGCAAGGCCCGTTTGATCAAAGTCCTCTCTGTGTCCCACATTTTCTGTATGGCTCAGCAAACATGTTTTTACTAAACATTAACTCTTTTTATCTTCCCGTGAATTGCCTCTACTTCCTTCTCCTTAGTCCAGACTCCAGAATGACAATTGTACCTCATTTTGCCTTACTGTCTTTGGAATTTTCATGTTTATGTGGATTTCCCATTTGCACAAAATTAAATATCTTTTTTTTCCTCCTGTTAATCTGTTTCATATGAATTTAATTCTTAGACTAGCCAGAAGAACTTAGAAGGGTACAGAAAATATTTTTTCCTCCCCAACGGCCTTTGCCTTGATAGGATGAGAGCTCATCTGGAGCCTTCTATTAAAAAAAAAAAAAAATATATATATATATATATATATATATATATATATATATATATATATATGTATAAAATTGATTTTTTACAGAGAGGAAGGGAGAGAGATAGACAGCTAGAAACATCGATGAGAGAGAAACATCGATCAGCTGCCTCCTGCACACTCCCCACTGGGGATGTGCCCAAAATCAAGGTACATGCCCTTGACCGGAATCGAACCTGGGACCCTTCAGTCCACAGGCAGATGCTCTATCCACTGAGCCAAACAGTTTTCAGCTATTTTCCTTTTTTTTAAAGCGAAAAATATGTACATCATATGTATTAACTTACATAGGATATTAATCACTATTTTTGTTTTTTCCTTAACATTTACTTAGAATCAGTCACAAATAGCTGGTGAAATACAGTAAAGCCTTAAATTTACATCTGCTTAGTTTTGGGCAAGCTGTTTACTGACTGGGTTGGCCTGCAGTAGCATTTATAATCGTCTGCCTCCTCCCGGCGAGATGCGTGAGAAATTTACTTAATTACCATTGATTCTTTCTCTCAAAGGACTGAGAATTCAGACCAGAGCTTAGGTGTAGAAGGTGTTATAAAAAAACATGTTGTTGCATTTCCAATTTGCCTAATAAGCCTGCTTTAGAAAAAAAAAAATAAAAGCATCTTTGCGTGCACTTGGGAATAAAGCATGCAATGTGCTGATGTTGGACAAGGTTGAGATTTCACTTCTGTTAAATTTTTATCTTCCAGCATCTAATTAAATACCACCTCACATCAAGGGAACTCCCCCTGTCCCTCCTCCCCGCCTTGCCACTCAAAGTTCTTAGAGGATTTGAAAAGTACAATGTAAAATGCAGTCTAAAGGGAAAGAAGAAATAACTTGGATGGATTGCACAGTTACTTTAGTTTGCCCATGGGAAATTTTAGTGAAGTTGATTGTTTTTTTCACCTAATGTTAAGGTAGCAGAAAGATTGTGAGGTGACTAATATTTTAAGGAGAAAATTCTTGACTTTTTTTTTTTGCATAACTGGAAATAGAGTTTACATAACCCTAACCATACAGATTAATCAAGCTGACCTTCTCTATTTAATACCAATGTAAGAAAATATGGTCAGAAATTCTTTCAAAATCTCTAGTAAAATAGGTTTTTCCTTATTAATTTGAAAATGACTTGGTTTATGTAGAACTCAATAGGCTCCCTTAACTCACAAAAATTTCCCAATACTTTAAAAATAGGAACTGTCGCCAAAACCAGTTTGGCTCAGTGGATAGAGTGTCGGCCTATGGACTGAAGGGTCCCAGGTTCAATTCCGGTCAAGGGCATGTCCTTGATTGCAGGCACATCCCCAGTAGGGGGTGTGCAGGAGGCAGCTGGTCGATGTCTCTCTCTGATCAATGTTTCTAGCTCTCTATCTCTCTTCCTTCCTCTCTGTAAAAAATATTTGCCCACATCTTTATCTAGTCAATGCCAATGATATGTGAGAACAACTTCAGCTCCTGAATACTCATCAAAGGTGGCAAACTTAGAGCTGAAGGATGAAAACAAAACACTTTAAAAGAGGGTAGAGTTTGCCCCGCCAGCGTGGCTCAGTGGTTGAGTGTCAGCCTATGAACCAGGAGGTTATGGTTCGATTCCTGGTCAGGGCATATGCCTGGGTTGCAAGCTTGGCATGCAGCAGACAGCTGATCAATGATTCCCTCTCATCATTGATGTTTCCATCTTTTTCTCCCTCTCCCTTCCCCTTTGAAATTAATAATAATACATTTTTTAAAATAATAAAAGAGGGTAGAGTTTGAAGAATATATGGGACCAGGTGGATACTTGAAATATCAGGGAAACCACTTTGTGATTTGTGATTGTCTAACCACTAAGTCTGTATACTTGAAACTGATACAAAATGATATTGAATGTCAGCTGTTATTGAAAAATAAATACAGCCAAAACCGGTTTAACTCAGTAGATAGAGCGTCGGCCTGCGGACTGAAAGGTCCCAGGTTCGATTCCGGTCAAGGGCATGTACCTTGGTTGTGGGCACATTCCCAGTGGGGGATGTAGGGGATGCAGGAGGCAGCTGATCCATGTTTCTCTCTCATTGATGTTTTTTAATTCTCTATCCCTCTCCCTTCCTTTCTGTAAAAAAAAATCAATAAAATATATATTTAAAAATAAAGAAAAATAAATACATAAAAGTGGGTAGGGTTTGGATTTGGTGTTCACCAAGATGTACGCGATATCCCTACCAGATTGTCAAAGGGAAAGAAGGGAGGAGTTCCCCTCCTTTGAATCGCTTGTGGTTTTCTGTGGCTTTTGCAGTGGACCTCTTGAGCCTGTCAGCCGCATGTGATGCTTTGGATCAGCACAATCTCAAGCAAAACGACCAGCCCATGGACATCCTGCAGATCATTAATTGTTTGACCACTATCTATGACCGCCTGGAGCAAGAGCACAACAATCTGGTCAACGTCCCTCTCTGCGTGGATATGTGTCTCAATTGGCTGCTGAATGTTTATGACACGTACGTATGGCAAGCTTGTCTCTCAGACTCTGTCACAGGAGGCTTGGTGGGCAGAATGGTGCCGGTTTAATTAGCATCACAACAGGCCCCAGTCTAGAAATATGGTCCTCGGCTTGAAAGTCTCATGAAGCTGTGTGACCTAATGCTGTCCCTTTGAGAAATCATTTTTTGCAGTTAGTGGAACCAAAACTATTTTGTCTTGGTAAACTAGGAGGTAAGAGTTAGAATATTGATCGCTCTCAGATTAGAAAACAAATAAAACCCTGCGATACTAATTTTTTACAATGACTCCATGTGCAGCCATTCGTTCTTTCCCTCTCTTGCCTGTGTGTTTTGAGTTCTTCCGTCTACTTTGGGGGCAGCTCCCTCTCACTGGCACATGTGCTCTTGGAGATGCTGTCACCAGATCTGTCACCAGATTTGACTACTTAGAGATTTTCGCAGGAGATGAGCTGAAAAGCCAAACAAAATGAAAACAAGCCCTTAATTCAGCGAACTCGGCTCCCCAAATGGAGGAAGTTTTGAATTTAAAAAAAGAGAGAAAGAGAAATATTTCAATGGGACCTCCATTCATCATGCACTTGTTTTTTTTGGGGGGGATTGCACAGAAGAGAGATCCCCAGCTGGAATTTTTGCCTTGAGCTTAATGAAGACAGTAGAGGAAGGTAGCAGGACTTGGTCTTAATTTTGACTGAATTTTTAGACATCAGAATTATTACATGCCTCATTTCACATGTCAGAAAGAACATCTCCCCATTTGGAAATCTGGGAGGGTTTTTGAAAAGGAGTTGCATAGCAACTACTTTGCTTTTTGCCTATGTGGTGGATTTCCACCACCTCCTGGATTAAAATGTATACCCTTTCCTTGTTGTTATTTTTGATAAGGCATTGCTTTTTAAATTCTAAGGTCACCTGGCTATTGAAATCTGATCAGTATCAACCATGCCTGTAATCGTGGATTATCCTTACATTTGCTTTGATAAGGGTTTGTATTCAGGTCTTCTCTCAGATATATTTTAGCAATGTTTTCTCTGCAGATGACATGAATGGATTCTGAATATATAATTTATTTCTACCTGTCTGAAAAAAATTTAGAGTATAGTTTATTTCCTTGAAGTCCTGAGTTACTGTACCAAGTTTATTTGTTAGACATTGATTTGCCTTTTTTAAAGAGTAAGAAAAGGATAAGAAAACCTTTCAACAATAGTAATATTATTAGTGCATTAGGATCCAGGATTTCTGTTTGACTAAAGGATTTAATAAATTGTATCAGTTGAAAGTTGAGCATATTGTTCACCAAAAATAACCCACAAATGGGACATGTCCTTTGTAATTTCACAGTGCTAAATTAAAACTTAGTCTACTTTTTTAAAAAAAACACAATATCTAATGTTCATTTGTTTTCCATAACAAAAGCTAAAAATTATTGAAAGACATTTTCCACAAAATGAAAAACTTTATTATTTAAAAAATTTCCCATGGGTTTAATGAACTTAATAAATGAGTCAAGTGGAATGCTTTATTCCAGTTTTATATGCAAACGCAAAGTGTGCGTGTGTGTGTGTGTGTGTGTGTGTGTGTGTGTGTGTATATATATATATATATATATAATCATAGGTTATTTTTAAATTGCACTTTAAGATCATATATTTGAAGCTCTCTAATAGAGTATCATATTTTTCTTGTGGAGATAACCATTCATATTTCATATTGTGTTATATTGCCTGAAGTGGTTAATTTTCTTCTGAATATGGACAGTGTAATGAAAATCTGAAAGAGTTTTGAAGAGAGCAGAGCAGAGAGTTGCTGATAATATTTCTTGGACTTCAATAACAAAAGTAGCTTAGTGCATAATAATAATTCATCCACTTACTGACTTAAACCCAGGTGGCTCTACATGGATGACTAGAAGGATATTTTTCCTATTTTATGTAGATCCACTCTTACAATTCAAGTAAGGGCTTTTCAGAATTGAATACTTGGTAAATATTCATTCTTCGAGTTGTTCAAATTTCCATCACATTCTAAGTCATCTCCAAATAGATAACAAACTCAGAAAAGTTCTTAATCCCATGTTCGACGAATTTTTTTTCTTAGCTGAAACATGCTTACCATCTAGTAACATGTCAGTAATTGTTTTCTGATCTGATTATTTATAATAGGGGACGCACGGGGAGGATCCGGGTCCTGTCTTTTAAAACAGGCATCATTTCTCTGTGTAAAGCACACTTGGAAGACAAGTACAGATGTAAGTCATGCATATTAACTCTGTATTCTTTTATTACTATTGGCTAATTGCCTCAGTTCTCGATGGGGAATGACATAGTGTTCTTATTTGACAGTAAGTTCTTCATGGAAGATGGAAAACTGCTTTTAGAAAGTCATAAAAGGTGGTTTGCGCTGTTCCCTGTCAAACATTAGCTTGCAGGTATTTAAATAGGGAATGAAGATTAACTTCTTTAGTCCGAGTATTATTTTGCATTACATTGACTGTGTCTGAATAAAACACATGTTCCTAGGGGATAAAACCTGATTTCCTAACCCCTTTGTATAAGTCAGGAAAAATAAATATGAAAGGTTAATCCATGCTCTTGCCTAGTATTTGGATTCTTATTCAAAGACTACTGTCTGGCATTCATGTTTAAGAAGCATTGTTTATTTTATAATCATCTTATTGCAAGGTGCGCTGGCATAACCAATGCTGTGATGTGACTTAACATTTTATTATTGGAGAGACAGATAGCTTGCCATTTTTTACAGGGTAAATATCACCTTATGGAATGTCTTACTGATTAGCCATTGGGTTTTTCTGCTAAAAATCCGTCAACCCAAATTAAAAGCAAACACTAGAGGAGTGATGGTTGAGATGACTATAAGCAACCGTTCATTCCCATTGTGGGAGGACCATATGTGTTTTCCCCTTTAAAAGCTTGTGAGAAATGTTTTTAGTAGGAATATTAAAGAAACCTCATCTATTTTGTCTTTTCTCTGTTCCCCTAAGGCCTATCCTCACAGGGATGAGGAGCTGTGCTGAGCTTAAGGACAGGCAGGAGATAAAAGAGATTAAATTCCTCCAAAGCCACTCTGTGTCCTACTGCTCATTTCCCTCCTAGGAGTAAGCCAAAAAATACACAAGCCTTTCAAGCTCTCACTTTTATGTAGTTTCCACTTAAGTTTTCTCATCCTTTTAGGAGAAAATAACTGAACAGATTTGGTTAACCATTTAAAAACATTTTTTTTTTGGATAAAATGGAATCTTTCTATGTTTTTGTCCTCTTTTAAATATTATAGTTACTTATTATAGGTTAGCTGATAATCTAATCATGTCAACAGTATTACAATACTAAATGGAGTCATCTAGGGAACTTCAAGTTTGTGTTTCTAATAACCACTATGTAGGGATGTGTTTTGAGGTTGGTGACACAGAAATATTAACTTCAAATTTGGGATATTTGAAAATAATTCATAATTTTGAAAACAATCTGTGTGTGTATTGGATAGATGATGAAAAGTGGTTGTGTGTGGTATCATTTTGGTTATTGCCATCTTAGATGTTTCATTAAAATATTTAATTTCTTAGAGTTCAAAGTGTACTTCTGAGCCCTAACCAGCAGTTTGTCTCAGTGGTTTGAGTGTCGGCCCTTGGACTGAAGGATCTCATGTTCAATTGCCAGTCAAGGGCACGTTCCTTGGTTGCAGGCTCCAGAGCACATATGGGAGGCAACCAATTGATTTGTTGCTCTCACATCTCTCTCTCTCTCTCTCTCTCTCTCTCTCTCTCTCTCTCTCTCTCTCTCTCTCTCTCTCTTCTCTCTCTCTCTCTCTCTCTCTCTTTCTGTCTCTGTCTCTTCTCTCTGTCTCTCTCTGTCCCTCCCTCCCTCCCTTCTTTCTCCCCTCCACTCTCTCTTTAAAAAGGTCAATGTAAAAAAAAAAAGCTTTCTTAGATTTAATTTGATGAGCAACTTTTATTTGAAAACAATGTGTGATTAAAATGATTTTATTTCTAAGACCAAAACATATTGCAAGTGTTTGGTATGTTCATTCATTCCGTGAACCCACTACATTGGACACCTGCTTTCTGCAGGTACAACTATTCTACTGTAGATATTTCTGGCACACGGTTGACCAAAAAAAGGTCCCTGCTCTCAAGGAGATACCATCCTTCATTCAAAAAGACAGTCACCTATTGAATCAGTATAAAGTGATATGAGCTAATTACAAATATGTACAGCATCCTGTGGGAACTCACAAGAAACTCAATGATCTGATGCCTTCATAAAGAAGTCCCAATTTTGGCACATTTTTGAATCTCTTATGTCCAAAGGGGATGGTGCTTTGGGCTAGTTATATGGTTGTTAATGCTAAAACAGTTATTTTATTGTAGTAGTTATATCCTATATATAACATAATTTCCCAAAGGATCATCTTCTGACTTAGGAAAAATTCAGGTGTCAGGATTGTATGTAAACTCATTTCTTGAGGGCTATATAGTTCATCTATAAAAATATTAAATGTCTAGATTAACATACAGTAGAAGTAACTGCCCTATGGGAATATTGGCTACTCTTGAGAATTGGTACTGGATGTGAGTTGGCCATTAGATTCTGTTAGCACTTAGTTGGCGTTGCTTTTTCATTATTGTGATTCTCTTCTTCCTTTTGTAGACCTTTTCAAGCAAGTGGCAAGTTCAACTGGATTTTGTGACCAGCGCAGGCTGGGCCTCCTTCTGCATGATTCCATCCAAATCCCAAGACAGTTGGGTGAAGTTGCATCCTTTGGGGGCAGTAACATTGAGCCGAGTGTCAGAAGCTGCTTCCAGTTTGTAAGTTATTCACCTTCCTAAGTAACATATTTATTGTTTTATATTTTAGATATTTTTAAAACAGAACTTTCATTGCTTATATAGCTCTTGTTTACGCAGGTAGGTAGGGGATTTTTGATATTGGAAACCTTTTAAAATTGTCTGCAGAGATTTCTGAAGCTCCAGGTCTGGGGGAGAAAGGACAATAAAGAGGAAGGAAAAGAAATCTCCATCTGGCCCTAGCTGGTTTGGCTCAGTGGATAGAGCATCAGCCTGTGTACCAAAGGGTTCCCGGGTTTGATTCTGATCAAGGGCACATACCTTGGTGTCAGCCTCATCCTCAGTCTGAGCCATGGTCGGGGCTCGATCAGGAGGTAACCAATCGATGGGTTTCTCTCACATCGATGTTTCTCTCTGTCTCTCCCTCTCTCTTTCACTCTCCCTAAAAAATCAATGAAAAAAATATCTTCGGGTGAAGATTAACAAAACAAAATAAAACAAAATCACCATCTGCAGCTGGGACCCCACAGTTACTAAGGTGCTGGGAGGGACGGGAGTCTGCAGTGGTTCAATGAGGGATGAAATACATCTCCAATCATAGAATAATCCTTGTATATAAGAAAAAGACTTTATAGGTGAGTCTTTTAGTTTTTTATTTTTATCTAATTCTGTCATTATAGCCTCATTTGATTGGCTGTTGGTGGCTAGTTGACATAGTGATCTTTTAAAGTTTTCCTTTTGTATCTTTGATATTTTTCTACTATTCTAAGGCCTTCCCTTAGTCTTATTAACATTGATGCAATACTGTAGGACAAGCATGTCAAACTCATGGCCCATAGGCCGCATATGGCCCACAAAGAATATTTTTGCAGCCCAGCCAATACAACGGTATGTAAGAAACGTTTTAACAAAAATTTCATAACTTAATTTTTACAATATCCTGTTATCATAATTATTAATAACAAACTACAATGTTCACTAATGACTGATTATTATAATCGTGTTGCATTTATTTCCCTTACGGGCCTTATGCACAGATGCACCATTTCTCTCCACTAATACCAGCAGCGAGTATTTTAGCAGCCAATTGCCACGTCATTAGTCTTGTACTGATTTGTTTGGTGTGTACAACAGGAACTATTTTGCTTTTGGAAAACAAGAAAAATAGGTTTATTTGCAGTTATTCAGTGTCTACTAAGTTAATATTCAAGAAAATATAATCATTTTTATTAAAATGTTCTATTTTATGTTAACGATGACTCGTTTATTTTAGCCCTTTGTATTCAGCATGTCCCTCAAAATCTACATTTCTATGAAAATTGAAGCTTTTGTTTTTTTTGTGGCCCACATAAACTTAAACCTTGTTCATTTGGCCCGTGTTAGCCTTTGAGTTTGACACGCTTACTGTAGGAACTTAACTCTTGTTTATTCCAATTACTCTCTGCTAATGCCCATCAGTAGCTCATCACAGTCTTGCCCATTCTCTTTCTTGTCCTGCCCCTTCATGTTTTCCACACCTTAATCAGTGCCCCCAGAAACAGTCTCTTCCTCCAAATGCCTGACCACTCCATGGATAGACATTTAGGTTGTTCCTGTTTGTTTTATTAGGTGGGTAATGCTTCAGTGAACATCTTCCTGCAGTTAGCTCTTATTTCAACTGAAGTTTTTTCCTTAGGATAAATTCTCAGAAGTGAGATTACCAGACTAAATGACAAACAGTTTTATGGCTTTGGATACATATTACCAGGTGGCATTTTGTCAAAAGTTGTTTCTATTTGTAATGCCACCAACACTGAAGGAGTGAGACATTTGCAGTATCACATTAGTCACAGTGTTCTTATATTCTTTTTTTAAATGCTGCAAGCTGGTTTTATTAATATGGGGTTTTTCAATCCATTCTAATCCCGTTACCAGTAGAACTAGCCATAGAAGTAACTGGGGTAGACTGTGTTACTGCCAACATCATCAGGCAGCCACTGCCACCCTCACTGCCAACTCTCTTTCTTTTTTTAATTGAAATATATTTGACATATAACACTGTAAATTTAAGGTGTACAGCAGGGCCTCAAATTATGTGGTTTGTTCAACATCGTTACCCTATAACATTGATGAGATGCTTAGGAACTTAACTCTTGTGGTTCTATTTTAAATATGTTTTTATTCATTTCAGAGAAAGAGGAAGAGAGAGGGAAGAGAGAGAGAAACATTGATGTGAGAGGGAAACATCGATCAGTTGCCTCCTGCATGCCCTGTACCAGGGATCAAGCCCACAACCTGGGCATATGCCCTGACCGGGAATCAAACTGGTGACCTCTTGGTACATGGGTTGACACTCAGTGAACTGAGCCACACTGGCCAAGGCTTAACTCTTGTTTATATCAATTAGCCTGTGGTAAAACTTGTTTCATTATAAGTCATTTTGCTTAAAGTCACAGAACCTATCGATGATAAGTGAGGACTTTCTGTACACACACACACACACACACACACACACACACACACACACATAAACTAGAAGCATTGCATATGAATCTGTGCGCCAGTAGGTCCATGCAGCCCTCCTGTAGCTTTCCCCCTCTCCTCTTCCCCCTCCCCCCTCCACGTACCCCCCCCCCCCATAGCTTACTGCTCTGCCCCTCCTGTGGCTCTCCAGCCTGCTTGTACTTTGCTGCCCCACCCTCCTGCAGCTCTGTGATCAGTCATTACACAGTTGGTCATTACGCCTCAGGGCGTAATGGATAATTAGCATATTCCTCTCTTACTATATAGGATTGTAATAATATGATTGCCATTGTATTGCTTGTTGGCACCTCTATCACCACATAATTATCTTGAGTGGGTGTGTTTGTTGGGAATGAGTAAGAGAGTCCCTGGCTCTCTCTTATTTGGTTGAAGGAACCACTTAACAGAAGCTTCCCTTTCCCCAGTGCTGTCCCCTTATGAGGAGCCCAGCCTGGTCCAGGTCTGCCCATTGTATCCTTTTGCTGGATGCTCACCTTCTTCCCTAACTCATGTCTCTTGTTTCCGTATGTCTCTATCTTTGAAGTAGCAGCCCTCTCTCCTCAGTGTCAAAACTTTGAACTCAGTCCATATTCTCATACTGATTGAATGTGCCTTGGCTAGCCAGTTTCTAAGGTGTTGGGAATGTCTTTTGTGAGATTGGGGGACACCAGTCAGGATATTAATAGTGGTAAGAGGAGGTTTTTATTTTCTTGTCTCTTCTATTTTGTACTTTCCAAATTTTCTCCTTTGAACATCTTGAATTAGAAGAAAAAGTAGTAAGTACTAGCTTTTAATTGATTTCAGAGCAGAAGGAAGAGAAAGAGAGAGATATGAAATTGATTTTAGAGCAGAAGGAAGAGAGAGAGAGAGAGAGAAACATCAATGATGAGAATCATCAATTGGCTGCCTCTTACATGTCCCACACTGGGGATTGAGCCCGCAAACTGGGTGTATGCTGACTGGGATTGAACTGTGATCTCCTGGTTCATCAGTTGGTGCTCAACCATTGAGCCACACCAGCCAGGCTAGCTTTTTTTTTTTTTTTTTTTTTTTTTAAGGGAAAGAAATGTCTTTTGTTTAATTGCTTTTCATTGCCTATCTTCTACTGTTTTCAGGCCTTCTCATCACAAGCCTCTCCTCTGCACCCAGGTCCCTTTCATTGGTCTTACTGCTCCTTTCACTGGTTTTAGAGAAATGTATTCACTGTCTGACACCATTCTTAGAAATCTTCAGTTTCTTGCCATTGTCCACAGAATAAATCCTGGTTTCTCTATTTAACTCTCGGACTTTTCCTAATGTGCTTTTATAATTGCCCACTGTTTGCTTTCACTACCGTGAAAGAGCTTCACCCTGCCATTTGTACCTTCTATGCTTATAAATAATATTGTTATGCCCTGGCCAGGTGACTCAGTTGCTTGGAGCATTGTCCCATACACCAAAAGGTGTAGTAGGATTGATTCCCGGTCAAGGCACATACCTAGGTGGTGGGTCCAATCCCCAGGGCAAGTATGGGAGGCAACCAACCGATGTTGTTCTCTCACATTGAGGTTTCTTTCTCTCTCTCTCTCTCTCTCTCTCTCTCTCTCTCTCTCTCTCTCTCTCTCTCTCTCTTTTCTCTCTCTCTCTCTCTCAATCAATGAAAACATATCCTCAGGTGAGGATTAAAAAATAATAATATTGTTACTATTGCTACTGATGATAATACTTTGCTTACCTGAATTCTCATTTAATCCTCACCAATCCTTTGATGAGAATAGGAAAAAGAAGGATTTTGAAGTTTTGTTTTTATTGTTGTTTAAGTAGATGAACAAATTTATCTGTGCCCCTAAAATTTCTTAACTGCTGGAGTGTTTGATTTGTAGTCCAGTGTCCCCACCCCCTCCCACTTCCCATTTACCTCCTCATCCCCCAAAATGTACTTTTTGATAACATAGTTGACCCTTAAACAACATGGGTTTTAATTATATGGGTCCACTAAAATGTGAATTTTTTAAAATAAATTCTGCAAATGTATTGTCTTTTGCATATGATATTCGTAACATTTTCTTTTCTCTAGCTTACTGTATCCTAAGAATACAGTATATAATACATATAACATACAAAATGTGTGTTAATCAACTGTTTAGGTTTTTGGTAAGTAGTTATGTTTTGGGGGAGTCAGAATTTCTGTGCACATTTTTGTCTGCCTGAGGAGTCAGCACCCCAAAGCCCTATGTTGTTCAAGGGTTAACAGTACTGTTCCCCAGCTTCTCGAGGTGAAATAACAGGCATTTATCCCGAGTCCCTGGTGGAATACGAGATGACATAACAGACCTGGGAACACAGAAGTGTTGTGAGGGGGGAATCCTTATTTTAAGATGCCAAATATTGGCAGCCTGGATGTTTCTAGTGGAGTATTGTGCGCAATTTGTGTGTGCAGAGCCAGGTGAGGTTTATATTACTTAGATCTGGGGATCCTCTGAGCTCTGTGGAAATTCACAATCAGCTTGAACAGATCCATTGTGAATGCTTTCTGCAGG